GGAGATGCTCAAAAGCCACCTGGACACGGTCCTGGGCAACCAGCTCTGGGTGGCCCTGCTTGGGCAGGGGGTTGGGCCAGATGACCTCCGCAAGTCCCGCAGCCGTTCTCTGATTCAGAACGCAATTTTCCAAGAATGGGTTGAAACTCATGAATAGATGCATGTATTTAAGGCCATGGTCAGCAAAGGTATTTAAGCGATCTAGTTCTTTGTGGCTGCAGTAAAATCAGACAAGTAAATATCTGTTGATACTTAGACTCTGAACCCTGGTGGTTACGGATGTTTTTACTGCAGGTGGGAAGTCACCATTTGGGAATGAGTGATTCAGATTTTAGAATGATTGAGCTAACCACCTGATTCAGTTGTGAGAAAGAAGAACGTTATCCTGATACGCATGAAGAAAAGCGTTTCTGGGAAATATTAACACTGTTATACAAGCGTGGAGGAATTTTTACCTGCATTACTGTACCATTCTGACCATTTATTTGAAGAAAAATTCAAAAGAACAGGTACAAAGAGGAAACAAAAATGGTGAGAATTGTAAGCGTATATATCAGATGAGACTAGGAAAGCTAAATATGGTAGAGAATAATTGTTTAAAAGTACGGTGTACAATGATGAAGAAGGGAGCCCAATTTAAGGGGGATAAATTCATTGAAGGGAATTTTGAAAAGAGTTTGTAAACAGCATAAGTTTCTTTTAGTTGTAAGTAAGAACAACAGAAGACATTTTCAGATGGAGCTTGATGAATTTGTAAAAATAATTATTCCAGGTGGCTGCCTCTAATAAAAATAAATGAAGTGTTTTGTGACTCATGAGGTTCCCCTCTCTTCCTTATGCAATGCACTGCACTTTTGGGGATCGGAAGTGATTCTCAGTCTGCCGAGTCAGAGAAATTTAAATGTAAAGGCATACTCGTTTTAAAATAAGGACACGGGCTGTTCTTGGGGGGTTTTTTGCTAGTTAAGTGTAATATTTTTTATTCTTGCAGAGTTTTAACAAAAATCAAAGCCTTTCCTAAATCATACTAGGAAGTTTTCTATTTCAACCAAAAAAAATTGCTTAATTTTCTTTATGAACACATCTTGAATTTGGACAAAACAGTAAAATGTAATAGTAATGACACTAATGACAAACAACTTGAGCAAAGAGGTGTCATTTTATTTCCTATGCATCTACTAAATAAGTGAACAAAAGTTAAACACAGGGTGAAGGAAATTAATATAGGTGAATGAGGCCATGCAGCAATATGGTTAACCACCAACCAGATTTATCTACAATACAAGGAAGGAAATACGACAATTTTCCTTCATATTTAGACTAAACAAAAAGTGTGGCAAGCCCAGCGGTTGTTTTGAAATAGCAGAAACAGCTGCTAATCCAACGTCAAGAAATAAGTTAGGGTGAGAAATGCAGTGGCAGCTCGGTGCACTGGTACCCAGTTGGGAAATTCAGAGCCTCGGGTAGCAGTTGCGTTTGGAAATGGTGGTGAAAGAGGTAGGAAATTCAGCTCGGGTAGCAGTTGCGTTTGGAAATGGTGGTGTATTTTAATAGCCTCTTCTTTTGCAAACGTCGGTAACTAGTAACTACTAAAGAAATGAAGCTCCTCCATGGCCTTCTTGATAAAGGCCGGTTTTGCTGCTGGACAGCGGATGACGCGGGCAGGACTTCATCTGTGAGAAAAAATTACTAATTAGGTCTTGTAGGTGTGAACGTAAATAACGAACTGTTGATTATCCGGCCTCTTTTAACTACTTACAGTTCAATCCAAAAATCACGTTGGGTGACGACTCCGTAAACTCGGTGGACCCGGTGCCGGAAAGGAGGAGGAGACGGCTGTCTCTGCCGGGTGTTCTCCTTGGCGGGCTCAGCCACGCCTGAGCTACGCCCTGCGCGGGGTTTGGAATCCTTCCCAACCCTGCGGAGGCAGGCAGCGAGGGGCGGAGATCTCCGCGCACTGCTAGGGAGCCTAAAATGTAAGATTTAATGGGCGTTAAAATCTGCAGGTTACTGTACGCTTCTACTTCAGTTTTCACTGGGGCTGCTGTGCGGCCGTGTAAACGCACGGTTCTTCTCAGATTAACAAACCAGGCTGTACATGTAACGTTGGTGAAATCTGATTTTCTTCTGCTGTCCCCTCGTTTCCCCATTTGTGTCCGTTGGGGAATTTGACGCAACTTCATGAATAGTCACGTCACCATTTAAGAGCAG